GGCCTTTCAGGAACTTACAAGTGATCAGTTTGCCCAGATAGTTTTCGCCTAAAGTATAGAACTAGCTAGAATTAAAGAGAAACTATGCCTGAATACATGCTGGAAACAGATCAGTTAACTCCAGCAAATGTTTTACGCTATTTCGGAAGCATAAAGAAGTTTAAGATTATTGCTGACCATAGTATTGAATAAAGTCGATATCAAGGAGGCAAGCTTTGTGAAGTAAATTGCAAGTTGTCTTAGTAATGTAGTAAAAAATATTTATTATTTTGTAACACTCTTCTTAAGAAGGCCATATTAATAGTCACTAGTCAGCTGCAATAAGGTGTAGTGCAGGCGCTCTCTTCTGTATACAGAAAAGCATACTATGCAAACTGGTGATACATTTCGTAGTGCGTCGGTGGCACAGCGGTAGAATGCGCACCAACCATGTAGGTGGTTTGGAGTTCGGTCCTCGGCCGACTCACTCTCTTACCTCTCTAAGCCAATAACTAGACTGGTGAAGAGTGAAGGCTGGAAATGAGGCTAGCAACCCCATCCCGTAAAAATAAATACCACTGCTACCAAAACTCCAAGCCTCTAGCTTGAAGCCCTATTTTCCACTGGGAACGTAAAGAAATAAAATAAAAGAGCTAATATGTTTACACCAATAGTGATTGAAGTGATGTGTGAGATTTCAGAATGACACCAACTTAATATTTAAAATATTTTCTTTCCTATGATGTCATTTTTAAAGATGTACAACTGTCCGTTTTTATTCTGACAACTAAATGTGTCTAACTGGTGTGTATCAGGAACACTGACGTAAGTGAACGGCATCCATCTGCGAATACAATGTTAAAAGAAAATAGTTCTAAAAAGGTCCTTATCAAAAGGTTGTAGCAATAATTCCAAATAATGATGCAAATGATATCATTTGTATTTTGCAAATACTTCACCAACGGCCTACGATTGACATATTGCTCCCAGAAACTATTCACTCAGCAAGTGGAAGACGAGCTGTCGCATTAGAGCTACTTCGTCATGCACATACCAGTTTACCAGCTCGTGTGGAGGTGAGTAAGTTGGGCGTACCATGTGTCCGCTTGTGAAACGCTCCTGGGAAAATTATCCAGCCTAGCTAACGTGACTGCTTATGTAACTGGGTAACGAGACATATGGTGAACTCAGGACATTCATCTTCATTTGGAAAGTGCTTCAAAGTTATATATAAGATCCCGTCAAGCTGCTCATAGGGAGTGAGATCAAGTCATCTAGAATAGCTGAGACACTAGAGATCCAAAAGTTCAAACTCATGCTATGCATTCAAAATCAGTAGGTCCAACCGCTGTTCTTAACATGGTCATCAAAAATCATTTCTCTTAGTAATTATTGTCTTATTATGAAATGTAATCATTCAAACTTCCTATCTACTTCTGTTATTTTCATGTTTCTTAATCCCTATTTGTACTACTATGTTTTCATCCAACCTTCAAAACAATTTAGTTTATCTAATACCCTGCAATGATTGTCAGGTCAAATACATAGGTCAAACTAGTGGAACAGGGGCAGTCAGACTAGCTGAACATAAAAACTTAGCAAAATCTAGATTGGTTGACCCGAATAAAATAAGAAATCTAGGGAATTGTTCAGCTATAGCACTACATGCAGTCACACACAACCATACAATAGGATGGGATAGGATGACAGTTTTAAAATCTAATGTCACAGGATATAGGCAGAGATTGATAACAGAAGCTTTGTTTATTGAATCAACTGCAAATACATGTAATAGGAATGATTCATCACCTGTCCCCGATATATGGAAAATTCTACTCCCCCTACGACAAATTGGAGAAAACAAAGAAAGCTATAAAACTCAAGTGTCAAAGTCGTGTGATCACAATTGATATGATTATGAACAATAAATTTTGTTGGAAACGTCATCCAGTAAATAATACTGTTTCACTGTGTGATATGCCTAATAAACAAACTAATATGGAATTACTTACTACCACAGTGCCCAAGTTTTACACATATATTCATCCAACCTTCTGTATATTTTACTGTTACTACACTTTTAATAACTAATTGCACCAAAAGTCAATCGCCTCAATAATTATGGTCCTACTATGTCTTTTTGTTCTATCTTCGGTTTACATTTTGTTATTAAAACGTTTTAATTTCTATTTGTAATCTTGTGAATTTGACCCTCCACTGAATATAGTGCCGGAACTATCTCATCGATTTACCAAATATACATGAATGTATGGCCCAGTTGGTGCTTTCATCACTGGAACTTTCGTTTTAATTTTCCCTATGGTCTTATATGTATTTTCTATTAAATATGTAAGCAAAGTACACTGTTGTAAATAGTATGCACTTCTAGGAAGCTAGAAATCTTCCTCTGTGTTCATTCCGAAATATGTTAAATAAGAAAGAATGCAATCCTAGAATTTTACCTAGGTGATTGATGAGTTTGTGAAGTCATTTTAGAATTTAAATTTCCAGGTTTTCATTTAACTTCTTTTGTGTTTGTTCAATTTAATTGGGATAATATCAAACACCAAAAGTGCCAGGGAATTCCTAGAAGCCTGGTACTCAAACGAATCAGCGATTAACAAACATGTTAATATAGACCAAATTTACCAGCTAATAAAAAGCTAATCATATGACGAGAAAGTTCAAAATCCAAGACAATAAAAAATGATCAGTACAGATGTAAATCGACTACCAGTTACGAAGATGATTGTCAGGAGATACAATTCTACCATTCATGGAGAATTTAAATCAGTTCATTTAATACTAAAACTTGCGCTGAAGTTGTTGTCTAGAAGGACGACGAAAGCTCTGCAGTTAAACCAGCCAGCTCAGAGAACACAACTAATTGCAGATCATTCATCTGAGCTACAAATCTTCTCTATTATATTTATTTATAATTATCTCCTTGCGTTCTAATCGAAACGTTGGGCTTTAAAGCTGACGGCACTCAATATTTCAAGTCTTTCACCCATACAAGTATTGAACAGGGTGACTGTACGAGAACTGGTCATTTCAGCGTGGTAGAGTCATCTTGAAGATAGCAATCATTTCAATTTTTGTTTTAAGGTAATGGTGACAGACGTCATTTCTTATTATTTTCTACTGGACCGATATATGCATGCATACATACCCTTCAGTGTTACAAAAGCTTGAAGTTCTAGTCTTTGACTTCACGTGAGACAGAATTAAATGCTTTTTTTCTTTGAGTCTGCATTACTACTGAAACAATATGGAGCAAATCACTTTAATGTTGGCTTCAATTATCCGAATTAGTTTAAATACTTTAAAAAAATTATCCTCCTTATGTTTTGTCTAAATTCTGATTGCAGTCATTTCGAATTATTCATGAATGCAATTATTTTCAAATTTCATGCAGAATCTTTGAAATGTAATTTGTCTCTATCTGTTGGTATTATCAGTATGCTAGTTGGAAAGAAATCAAATGTCTTTATTGTTATACTCATAGTTGAATCTATTCTGCATTACACTTTGTTGTACTCCAAAGTACATTTCATGAAATAAACTTACAGCCACTTTAACCTTTATCACGGGTTACTATAATCTTTAAAAGACTACTAAGTAGCTTGTAATTGATAGTCATTTCTGTACTTTGGACGATAATCGCTAAATAAAGCAACTGGAGGTATGGCTTTTGTGAATAAAGTTGTTTTTTTTTAAAAACCGATATTGGTGATGGTTGGTTGATGTTCAGTGCCAACGGATTGATTGAACACTAAGTACCAGGTCATAAAGAATAAGCCATAGTCATCCAGTTTTACTACCTCTGCGTTTAATAACTTTTCATTTCAAACTGGAGCTTTATTCTTCACAACAATTTCACACAGTATACACAATTTTTAGCGTGGTTTATAACATACCATTCTCTCTTCATCCAAGATTTCCAAATAAAACAGTCACCTTCAGCACATCGTGTAAGGCAGTACTGGTTGATCTGAAGAATAAAGTAACCCTTCATGCTATTTTTCGTTGGTCCACTAGAAATGCGAAACTGTAGTTTGAAAGCACTGTGCTTGATTTAAGTGATTCAAGCAGACAAATATGCTAAATATTCCGTGTATCTTTTGTTATTCTAATAAGTTATTGTTCATCTGGAGCACTCAGAGACGTCACTTTCCTATTTTAACATGCTAATACTCATTTATTTCTTTTCAAAATGCAGCTGTAATTGTCATGATAGAAATCGTATTTAGATGCTTCTCGTTTTATTTCAAGTAGCAATTTAGATTTAATTCATTTCAGAATATACGAACTAAGCTTCAAGTTTTCTGTTGAAAAGGTGAAGACAAACAGAAACTGGTTGGCGGGTAAATGATAGCAGCTTACTATACGTAATGTTTGGCTTACAAGTTTGAAAGTAAAGTAGTTAGAGAAAATAAGTAGTACATTCATTGACTGCAAATTATTACTTTTATTTTACAGCCGGCGAAATCTTTTGAGCAGCCGTGCGTAGGTTACTCTATGGTAGACTGCCCGGCAACAAAGCATGTGGTTCAGGACGCAATTCCTGGCGGATGAATTCCAACACTTCTTTTAGCCATCAGTAAGCCTAGTAAAGAAGGAATGACGGACATTAGACTAGCAACCCCACCCTGTTGAAAACACTAGCACTACTGAAACCTCAAAACTCAAGCTTGAAATCCTATTTCCCTATGTTTGAAAGCCAAAGAAATGAAAAAGTTATATATTTTTGATTTTAAAGAGAAGGGATTGTAATTCAATGCAAGGTAACTAGTTTTTGAACGCATATAACAGATTTTCTAACAGCTTTTCCTATCATTAACGCAATATTTCCTTTCTTTTGCCTCAATAAAACAGTTTCTGAAGGAAAAGACTACACGAAAATCTAATATTCATTTATTCGCAAAACAAACTATGTACAAAAGGAATGAAACAAAATCAGGTTTTTTACTATCTTCAGTCAACGAAAAGTGTATCCATTATCCTTTATTGATCAAGGTTTATCCAGATTTAAACAGTAATATGGCAACATTTTGAAGGTAGAAATAAATGAAGTGGTTCGTTTCATGTGTTACGTAGCTGAAATAGGGAAAGGGAAATTAATATAATAATGTAAATGGACACTATTTACAAACAGTTGGTTTATTATGTCATTATACTTTGGCTTTAGAGAAAAATAAGCTAAACTCGTATTGTATCATTCAGAACTTAAAAGGAAACAACTGAGTAACTACTGATTAGCAATGTTTAATTAAAGAAGTGCAAACAAAGGCAAAGAGACCAACATGTCGTCCCATTTAATTTGAATTATGAACTATTGATGCGGCTGCCTTATTCCTACAGAGCTTTTTTTGATAAAACATATTTCATTTCCACACGATTTCATATTGGTAAACATTAGGTGATAGTTCTACACATCTATTATTACCTTTGCCTTAAGTCGTGTAAAGTAGTTAGAATTCTAATGCAACGTAGGCTGTCTAAACTTTTATAGACTGATAAATCGCCACACTACTTAGTAAACAAAATATTACACTGTTATATAATTCACCTGCTTTTATAATGCACGGAAATGAAATACAATAGCTTCCAATTCTTGAAATGGGTTGTAAAAGTATGAACTTGTTGTAAAACACGATCATTATGCTAGAAAATTTACTAATGAAGATCTGCTAGTATTCCGAGTTCTGCTGCAGATTTGAAAAGGCTCTCATTGTTACATCTTGTTATCGTCTGTAATTTCAGTATGATAACCCCTCACAACAAAACAAAGGCTGATAACACTTATTTTTGAATCTTAAAGAGTAGAATAATTTTAAAAAAAATATTTATTTGTTTTGCTTACCTTCCAAAATTTCGTCCCACAATACAATGCCATGTTGGACCATATTTTTTGTCAAATTCCTTCTTTACACTACTTGCAATATCTTTTTCAATATTGAATTCATGCATTGCTTGTGCAGCTGTATCTACAGCATACTGTTGCATTTCATCTGGCATATCAGCATTTTTTACCACCGCCTTTTTACAATCCATGCGCTTGTTTCTTTTAGAAATTTATTGTGAAAGGATTGCTTTAGGCTATTTGACTTTCTTTATGTGATGAACAACGAGTTAAATAGTGTCTCCGTTGAAAATGACCCTAAAGATAACAAGGTCTATTTTAGTAAAATAACTTCAAACATGTGAACAGTAAGGTTTCATTTCTTACCCTTGTTTGCCTGTGTATCACCAGTGTAACCAGTAAACTCATCAAAGATTGGTTAGTTTCATGGAATTAACATGTGAACCACTATAATAACAATGCGTCTGCATTATGTGCAACAACAGACAACTAATGCTACATGTACATAAGTGAGTTGAATTATGCAAAATACAAGAGTTTACAACGTTACACAAAAATGTTCATATCAATGAATTGTTGAGTAATTGTGTCGTTATCAATGATGAGTCAAAGTTTTATTGCAGTGTAGTCTGTTCAATACAAACTATAGTAGAGAATACTGTTTAACATATTGGTGTATCTCATTTAAATTAACTATGAACACCTAACAGATTCTGACAACTGTCTATAGGTTAACTGTTAGGAAACCAATCGTATGAAATTTCAAAATGCAAAGCAATAACATCTTTCCAAGCTTTTCTGATGGCTAGAAAATATGTGAAACCAGATCGTAGAGGTACAATTATGCTTGAATGAAAATAATCGTAGTCAATAACAAAATCATACGTATTTCAAGCACAAAAAAGTAGATTGTTTGTAAATGAGCCTTAACGAAAGTTCCTTCTCTTTCACACAGAACTTAAATGAACTAAAGTTTCATCGTCAGTTTCTCATTAAAGTGCAGAGGTTGAAGGGTTATCACTTTATGAAATCACATAAAGGTAGGCAAAAAAAACAGAAAAAAACACAATGAAACTATGTAAATAGAGTCAATTGAGTGACTAATAAATTAAGTAACAATATACTGAGTTTAGCACAAATCATAAAAACAAGAGACATGAAAAATTACACTATATCAAAGGGGTGAGGTCAAAGCCAAAGACTATGTAATCAAATGAAACAGAGAATAAAGATATCCAGTTACCAGGGCAAGGAAAGGCTGATAACTGCTTCCTTCTGGACACATAAATTGGGTTTCAAGCATGTGACGGAAATTGCTTTAGCAAATTTGAGGAGACTTGGGCTATTCTGTCTACCGACAACCTTATAGGATTTCGTGATTTTCACCTCAAGATGCCTGGTAATGGTAATACTGTGATCGTTTGTTCCCTTGAGACGTAGGTTTTTTGGTACATGATTCTCGAAAAGATGTTGAATAACAAACGTTACCCTCAGAGTTTCATTAACAAATATAGAAGATGTGGAGGCTCAAACAACAAACAAATCACAGTGGAAAAAAACCTGTCTTCATTCAACTAGATTTTAAACGTGAAAATATCACAGCAATTGTCAACAAAAGATTGAGGATGTCAATAGGCAGAGCCTATCCTTCAGCTAAATTAGTCCTTGTCTATCGGTGCGGTCAAAAGTCGACGGATACCCTTCTCATGTTAACTCCAACTTTGTATACAAATTTAAATGTATCTGCGGGACCAGTTACATTGGGAGAACAGAAAGAGGGGCACACCTCTGATTTTCTGGACATATACCATATTATTCTGCAAAAAACTGTTGTTCTTGCTGTATTCAAACTAACAGTTATTATTATTATTACGAAATGTTGTCCAAACTTTCATGGTATTCAAACACCTTCTGCTGAAATCCCTCTATTATCCCTATTTCACTAAAACTCTTAATTTTTGAGTAAATACCTGAGAGGAATTCTGATTTGACTAAAATTTATGTACTCACATTTCCATGTCAGTCAAGTAAAGTGGGTAATAGAAACAAAAAGAAAAGATAATTTTATCCGAACAGGCCTTTATTGTCTCGAAATTCCTCTTAAGAGCTGGTGATGTGGAAAACTCTTCGTATCACTGTGATCTGAAAGCCTGAGATAAATCAAAGGGGGTTACATATTTTTGATAATTCGATTCGATTCACATAAGAAATCAGTACATACGTTAAGTAAAATTTAAAAATTCTAGAGGATCTATTCATATCATCATAACTATGTCGAGAGCGAATATTCATAGCACGAGTTCGTCTTTTGGTTCCTTTTTCTCTTCCCTTATCCTCTTTGATAAATATTTATTCTCTGTATTAACAGTGTTATGATCTAGTTTATTGGTACAATTACAACCGGAAACCATCTCCATTTACACAACATTTCTTATGCCTTGTTATTTCGCTATAATGTTCTCATTGTCTTTCAGTCTGATGAATTCAGGTCATATCTACACAAAAACAGACCTGAAATCAAGCAAACAAGCCAGCATTCTTTGGATTTTGATGGTCTTTTATCCGTCAGTTACTGAAAAACGCCTCAAAAGTTTGTAGAAATGCGACTGAGTAAATACCTAATCAATTTAAAACGAGAGCATTTATCTGTCACTCATATAAGTATGTTGATTGAAATGTCTACAGCCTCGTTATTTCTCACAGTTAAGACTCACTTTCTTCTTTCATCTAAATAATTTTTTACCCTTGTATTCAGTTAAAGAAAGTACTGATTAAGCTAAACAAATAAATAAATGTCTATTATTTCTGTTTCAACTTATGAATACTTCTAATATTTCATACAATCGAAAAAAACAACTAACGTTTAGAAGATACTGCTATTTATAAACTTTTGAATGCTAAGAGAAAATAATGATGCTTAACAAAATGAATACTTTTGATCGACTATTCTTCATATTACGTGCTTGGAATGAATACTATTGACAAATCAGGACATATACATCATCTATGCATAACTTTGCTTCATTGAAATCAAGCTGATATGTGATTAACTCAGGGTTGAAGCATGAGAGAATTAAGTTAAAAAAAGTTTGGGTTTTGCAGTAAAATACGCCTTCAATAACACATCTCCACTTTATCGTATTCTCTTCATTCTTTTATTTAGACGGCTGCACAATTGTCCATAAGCTCTTATCATCTCTTCACACAGTCTATTCCATGTCATCCTCGGAGACACTTTCTATTCATCGTTTCCAAATCAGGTTCGACTCTAAGGCTTGGTGTATGATGTCAATTAACGGTCTCCTCAGAGTTTTTCCAGTCCTTCCGCATTTTCTTCTGAGTATTTCTATGGTTTTGGGTTCTTGGTTGGTTTGTTGCCTGGCAGAATTCCTTGGTGCTAATCCTTTTTGGCCGGCCATCTTACCTTCAGTATCGAGAGAATTCAGGTGATAATAAAAGTCCTAAGCCTGTTGAGAACGCTCTGGATGTCAAACTAAGGCTCTAAACCATACAGAAGAACTGACAATATTAGTTTTGAAAGTGCAAATCTTATTCCTTACGCTGAGTGGTGTGGATTTACAGAGTGACTTCAGATTAACAAAGGTCTGTCTTATCTTTTCAATTCTGGATTCGCCACCTTCATCCGTGCCGCCTGTAGTTGGAACAATGCTGCTTAGATTATTGGTGATGAAAGCAGTATTTACTCAATTGTATCACATGAACTAAATCCATTATCGAATATCGAATCTTGTAATGGAAAGTGAATAATAGTCACTTTCTTGGTGTTGCCAGATTCTTGGAGATGGATGGTTTAGTTGAAGATTTTTTAATTATTCTTTTAGATGCTATTTTTATAGTAAATTTAATGTCATCTAGAAAGAAAACTAAAGCTTACCAACTAAAATTATTTAGCTTTGTGAGTGCAGTAATGCTCAAATCATCCATCTGAGCCACAAATCTTCTCTACCATTTCAGTTTTCATCTCCATTTTGAGGTAAGTTAACTCTATGAACTTTATACTAACCTGAACACAGTGATCCATAGTGTTACGGTGATCAATGCGATAAGAAAAATCAGTAAATTTAACTGTAAAAGTATTGAATTACAAGTTCTTAAATGTGCTCATATTGGTTGGAAGATTTCATCATAAGCTGACATCAGTCAGAGAACCATCGGAAACCCTGGAGGACTGACAGCTGTTTCGTCAACCCAGCTTGGGACTCTTCAGTAGTATGCGCCCACGGCCAAGATTCGAACCCAGGACCTTGTGGTTTCAAGGTGAGCTCGTATACCAATCCAGTGGCCAGCCCATGAATTCTAACTTCTGCCAATTCGTGCCATGGCGCGACCACTTCGCAATGTTTTTCGATGAGTTATTGCCTCATTTTCAACCTGCTGCACCCAACTGGTCACTGAGGATTTTATCATGAGCTGGTATGAAATGTAAATAATCTATTCCGCAATTCATTGTCAAAACTAAACTTGCAATCGTTGGGATACACAGATAGATGAATTTTGAGCCTTCCTCACACCGAACCGCCAGCTTCCTTTGCTAATATAGTAATAATAATTTTGATTTCTTTATTATAAAAGTTTGAAAAGACTCTATCAAACAAATTATTCTTTATTCATGTCTACTTCAGCTTTCTGGCTCAAACCATAGAGAATTCTTCTAAATGCTTACATCTAAATTATTGATCTTTATAGGTAGGGTCAATTCTGAAGTGCAGATAACTACTTATTTCTAAGAGGCAATTACACTTTGCTTGTTCACTTGAATGCTTTAAATTAAAACAGTTTATATAAAACTATACTAGAAAGTGATTTAATATGGTTGAAAAAATGCTGAATACAATGAAAGAAGCTGTAGGTTACACTGCGAGGTAAATGAACAGGCCTCATTTTAAGTTTCAAAGCACTCTGACAAAAAAAATACTCAAAAGTTTAACAATAATATTTCAAACTGAATGGCTGACTAAAGTTTCTACTTTCTTACAGTGAGCTGTGCAAATTTTGAAATGCTGCTTTTTATACAGTCAGCACTGAATTATGTGGTGACAGGTAAATCCTGTAGCTTACATCTTTATAAGCATCAAATTTAGTAGGTATACATTGATTAAAATCGTCAGACTATTGATTCTCGGAAAACGTATCATAAAAGCTTTAGGAGTATTTTTCTGCATATCTCTGCTTTTTGTTAGATTTTGAAAAAATACAAACGAATAAATGAGAATAATTAGACGAAGAAACGTGATGTACATGCTGCCAGATATGTCACAATATGAATATGCTGCAAACTATTTATTAAGACAAATATTGATGACTTTCATTCTTTGATAATACATATTTTTTTAATGTTCAGCCAAATACTTCATCAGCAGAATGGAAGACATATGTCACTTTCAGTGATTCTTGCTTTACATTTTACCAACCATTCACAGTGATATTAAAGTACACCTTTGTTTAACAAATCAATAATCTTCACGTGATACACAAGTCTACATAATATATGTGTACGCATAAAATAGCATGCAAAGATCAAATTACTCATAAAATTTTACATGCCAGAGAAGTGTGAGGCAAGGCATAAATTGTGTACAAGTTGTTAACATTGAACTTTTGAAATTTATCCACTTATCATTATTATTATTATTATCGCCGCACACAAATGGAACCAGAAAAAGCCATTGTTAAAAGTACTGGTATGCCAGAGGAAATGCAAGAACACGCAATTAAAACATGCCTGAAAGCAATGAAAACGCATAGATATGATAAAGATATAGCTAGTGCATTGAAAAGAGAATTCAATAACAAATATGGACGTACATGGCACTGTGTTGTTGGCTGTAGTTATGGAAGGTAAGCTTATAAATGTTAAAAATATTCTTTGGAAATTAATTCAGTATCACTATAATTGGTATTACGTAGAATATTGAAGCATGTATTACTAATTTATCAAGATGGATGTTATTTCTTAGGTATATATCTTTCAGTCCACACACTTAGTCATAAACACGTTATCTTTATTCATCAGCATACAAGTCTGTGATGTCTTCTATGAATGATGGAAGTTTAAGGTTTCAAACTAAAGTTTGATTGCACCGATTTTACGGTGATATTCAGTAACGGACTAAATATTTATCGGCACAGCTGGATAAATAATCTGATAGCATCTCAATTTTGTAAGAGCTATATGTCAGGCATAAAAGCAAATAAATGAAATACGATAAAAGGGTTGGAGTTTTCCAAATTCATGTACTAATATATCACACATTCCTTGAGTTCTGTGTGAAACATACAGCGCCAGAAGTACATCTCTGTTGCACTCATTTTTGTGTTACCACTTCTCATTGACACCACAGCCTCCCGTAAGCTTTCACTTCTTCTATAAATGATATTCATCAAGTCAAAGCTGTACGCCTAACTCATTCCAATTTCACTTGAAGGTGAAGCGTGTGATGTCAAACGTATGTCCAGCCTACCTCTATTTAGTCCTGTATATTTGGTGGGTGATAGAAACTTGACTGGTTGGACATTGGAGTTCCTTGGTTTCAATCAGTTATACCCTTCTAATTCTGAGTATTAGGCGAAGGCAGCTGGTGATGGAAATCTTCAGTCTGCTTGAAATGCCTTCACTGACGTGCCACGTCTCCAAACCACTTATAAAGTTCTGAATTAAGGCCAATGAACACTTGTTTTACTTTACTGATTCTGACCTGACATCCTCATCTACGAAGTTCTCATCAATAGATTTTGGTTTTCATTACGGATCGGTCAAGTATCACTGCAAAACATCTAGCTAGGGGACTTGGGTAAATATTAAGTGAAAATATATCACAGCTATATGGAGCAATTACAAGGATTTTATTATTATAACATCGCTATGATTCAACAGTTATAGTGAAACAAATATATTTTCCAGTATTAATTTTGGTGGTTGATGGATATCAGTTTGATTGCACCACCGATCAGGATCAGGTGGAAGAATCAAGTTTTTTTTCGGCAGGAGAAAAGTAGACGTAGTCATTTACATTAAATATTAGAATAAATAATTCACACTGCAAACTGATTACACTAATTAGCCATAATACAGTAATTAATTAATCATGAATATATAAAATTTATTGCACTTCCTTTTCATAAGATGCATTCATTTGTTACTTCAAATTTATTTAGCAATGTCAGTCATACTGAAGGTGGATTAATGTACTTTTTCCTGGGTCGAAGATCTATTCTCTTATTTAAAACGGAATCTGAGTAATCGGCTATACAAGATAGTAAATTTGTAGCAAGAATATTTCAATTAGACAAATATTTATTTATGCTGTATAATATTTGAATATTATTTCGAGTTTATAGTGTTCATAAATTTATATATTAATAAATAAAATCTACAAACCTATTCAAGTGACTTCTAGTATGAAAATCAAAAACAGTTTTAACTGAGGGACGAAAAGAGATAATAATAAGAAGAATTATGACGTAACTAATAGCTTGAATGAAGTTATGTGCTTTTTAATGCCATTTCAGTGGAGAGCGCTATCAGTCCCTAAAAAATTAAAAATCATCCAGAGCCCTAATTCACACTGAATGTTCTTGTCTATACCAAAAGATGACCGTGAGTATATCCTTCTAGATTTTTGGATGAACCAAAATTCAGCAATTATTCGTTCCCTGGTCATTGGATTATAAGTGTGGAAGTATATATTGTTAGTCACTTCAACTGAAGTTACATAATCAGAAGTTTACAAAATGAGACATGCAATCCACAGTTAAATAACGGGATGAAGATGAGAATAACGTTGAATTTTAGCTTAAGTTGAACCGAATTTCTCCACCAAAAGGAATTGAAAATAGGTTTTGTTCTCCGAAAGGCGGTTTTATTTTTATATGATATATAATGATTTGATTGTCTCCATTATTATCAGTGTTATTATTGTTCCCTTTGGTTCCGAGTGGAACAGGGCTCCAACAGTACATCTCTACTTTGTCCTGTTCTCAGTAATCTTATTTAGCTGACCCTACGATTGTCCATCAGCAACTTCAGATTTTCCACTTGACTAGGTTCATAATCTAAATAGTCTTCTCCTCACATCCCTGGTATCCATAAGTTACACGAAGAAAAAAGTGATGATTCTCACAAAAGAGGAAATTAATTTCTATACGGATGATAATTTTGTTAGCTTAGAAAAGAAAAATGTTGATACATCTTTTCAGGAAGGAATTAAAGAATCACAACTCTTTGTTTAACGTGAAAATATTCATATGAAAAACTATATTGATGCTGAGATACTTTAACTGATAGCTACACGACTAAATCCAATCGTGCAAGTTTGAATAATAATTTTTAATAAGGCTTTTCCTGTTGCTACAATATTCATTAGTGATTTAAGATGTACAGTGTAACACGCAAGGTAAGAACTTAAGGGTTATACTAATAAGCGGGGCATAAATTCAGTAATGAAAAGATTACGTCATTCTGAAAAACAAAAAGCGAAACATTAGAAACCAATAACTTTTTAAGGAATATATTAATGCTGTAATTTAGAAGTTCGGTTATAACCACTAAATGGAACATTTATAAATGTTTACTGAATTTGTATTTACCTGAAGGATAACAAATTTTTTACGTTTAGCCATTTTTTAATGTCAGGAATAATTGAAATGAAATTTACTGTGGAAATTAGTATTTATCATAGACGCATGAATGAATACCTCTACGGAAATCATACCAACTGAACTGTGTTGGTATTTCACAGGCATAAATATACATTCTCTGAAGATGCAGTTTTTTTACCTGAAAATACTTTCAAGCTGGTGGACTTAACTAATATCAAGATATTTGCCAAATAGTGCATTTGAAAACGTAAAAATGCTCACGGTGAAGGCATGTTGTAACAGTTTTTGGAGACAGAAGCCTCCTGAGACGTATTTTTATTTCTTTGGTGCCTAGTTAGTTATAATGAAGATCGGTAGCTTCGAAAGTCAGATCAAGGTGATATGATTATGAGCGTTTAACTCCTTAATATTTAAATCACAGGAAAAGATGAGACTGGAGTAAAAGGTTTCGTCTTCATCAGTTTCACTAGAGCTACGAAGGAAGTAAATAAGAATAATCTTTTTGATGCGGTTGTATTCTCTGAGCTTTCAGTAAAATTTGGGCAAAGATGTTGTTTAGAAAGACAATGAAAGCTTCACAACTAAATTCTTCCAGCTCAGAGAATACAATCACATGAAAAACCAATCATCTGAGCTGGAAATTTTCTCTACTATTTCATAATTAAAATTTTTTAAAGAAAATATTTCCAGGTAAGATGATATGTCACTGTTGAAATAAAGTATCTAAAAGTTTGGTAGAATGAAGTGACTACTAAAAGTTACTTTCTTATACTTTTGCTTAAATTTACCAAAGTTGGGCAAATCATTCTTCTTCATTCCGAGATAAGTGACAGTATCTGCATAACGTGTTTGGCAGGATACCACATGGGAATTCGTGACCAGTAAGGTGCAGTAAGTCAGGTTTGAGGACAAATACTCGCCGAAGACATTGGCTAGCGGTCGCGCTATGTCATGAATTGGCAGAAGTTAGAATTCATGGGCTGGCCATTGGATCGGAGGCCAGTGGCTTAATGGTCTACGAGCTCGCCTTGTAACCAGATAGCCCTGAGTTCGAACCCCGGTGGTTGTGTATTGTAAGGAGTCTCGAACCAGTACGAAATGACTGCCCATTGCTCCCAGGTTTTCCAATGGTTCTGTAACTGATGTCATCCCATGATGTAATCGTGTAACCAATCAATCAAATACCTACAAACCATCACTCGATTATTGTTGTACATTTCAAGTTGTTAGTAAGATGAAAACCCAAGCAGTGAATAAAATTTTAATTTCTAAGAATCAAGCAGCCACCTTTCGAATGACATCCTTTAGCAGACCGTTAATCCAGTCAAGAGTTAGTTATAACAAACTGCTTCTAGCCACCTCAATATGTATTTATCAGTTTACTTGTTCTTGTAAAGCAAAGTATATCAGCCCCACGCAAAAATTCCCCAAACGTATTGTGGAACACTGACCAATCAGGCAGGTCAGAAGAGAACAGAAGAATACATGGAGTTATATCCTCGATCACCTTGTAAACTCTGGATACCAGACTGTTTCACATTGCCACAAAAAATTCCTCAGTATCTCACGAATGGACATCGAATATGCTATATACACGTAGCTGAATGACTGCCTATTCAGGACTTGGAATCAGACTTCTGAGTTCAAAAGCACTACATACATTCCTTCACTTTACTATATTTAGAGTGAAATTCTTACCGTAACTTTGTTTCATTTTGTTGTGTAATTTTATTATTATTTTACATTTTGTTTTTAGTAACTCTACGTTTTCACTTTAACACTACAGTCTTTCTGCTAGATTTTGTCCACTTTGTACATTTACAATGACTACTTACTACATGATTTCAGCTTCTGCTCCTTTTTTCTAATCTTTAATAGTTCATCCATATTATGTCGTGCATTTTCCAGAAACAAATTTTTCTCAGTATTGAACTGGTTTTATGAATTCTTTCTTAAATATAAATACGATTGTATAGTATTTGAAAATGAATCGTCGAAAAGAAAATTATCTTCGCTGTTTATATTTTGCTTTTTCCTGTGACTCAATAATGAAGATATTTGGTTCATTATTAGTAAAAACAAAATAAATATACATGAAGTGTTATAAAATCATACATAGCTGATTTATAATGCAAAAGATGATAACTTCACAAGATGGCTTTCTTTAAAGTTTTAGCACCTGCAGTTCATACAGGTAGAAAACTAATAGTAAGATGCTTCCAGATTATATGCTTTTTATTGCAAAATTATAGACCACACTGATGATAAATTTGAATACATCAGTCAGAAAGTTAGAAATAATATATATAAATGAAACTATACAAAATATATGCTCCACAGAACACAGTCCGATATTGGTTAATATAAAGTTAATCATCTTGAAATATCGGAGAAGATGTGTAGCTCTTGTGGATGAAATTAAGCTAGTTGTGTTCTCTGAGCTGGTTGACTTAACTGCTAAGCTTTCGCCATCCTTCTAGACAGCATTTTCAACGCGGGTTTTATTATCCAGTGGATCAATCATGATAGCTGTTGCCTAGAGATACAATTGCATTCATGGAGAATTTAATTAAATCCAGTTTTTGCTAAAAACCTGCGCTGAAGATGTTGTTTAGAAGGACGATGAAAGCCTCGCAATTCAATTAACCAGCTCAGAGAACACAACTAATTAAAAGTTAATCATCCTCCTAAGTTCTACTCTGATGAGACGCATTACTTAGCGAATATGAGTGGTTGCAGCCACAAACACTTTATACGTTTGCTGTAGAAAAAATTTACAAGATTAATTGCTTATATATCACTGATAACAAAAGTAGTACTGTTCTAACGACATTTGCTGCTGTCTGTTACTGGCAGTTGGTACCTTCTACCGAAATAACAGCTGTGCGGCAGTAATAAAAAAGACTGTAGTAAAGGGAGGACAATTACTGCATCTTTGATGTTACAGATGTGGTTGATCATGAAAACAGTATACTTAGGTCCTTTCATCTGTTTATATTTCATATAAATACAGTGGTAGAAATGATACTGGATTATTCGTTCCTACGTATTTTGAAACTCAACACCAACTACTTCACTTCATTTGTTTTTTTTACATTTCTTGATAATTTCAAAACAATCGAACGATTATCCAAGTTTAGACGAAGTAAACTAGAATTATAACTGACTGTATAAAGTTTCTAGGTAAACGCCTACCGCAAATACATTTATAATAATAGAAGGTATAGCTAACCAATTAGTATGAAAAAATGTTATAAAGGTGCAAAAGAAATTGAAATATTTAGTAATGTTGTTTTTAGGATATAGATGGTAGGAAGATGTTTGATAAAGTGAGAGAGAAATATAATCTTAGTAGTCTTAGAATCTTCAAGTCAGTAAGTTTTAAACTAAACCATCATTCATCAGTAAGATATACATTCCGCGATGGAGAGTGCTTATTCTGTGAATTTCAAACTCATATTGTGTTGTTCAGACTCCATGCATTAGTTTTATGGAGACATCTTCAAGACCTGAAAGTCTTACGCTGTGACTTCTACAGGACATTTGTTTTTAACTCTAAGAAGATAAAAACACTTGAAAAGTACAAGTTTTTGGAAGCGGAACATATACCCCCTGTTTGTTTGGTAGCATGACTATGATGAC